TATCTTTTTTAGGAAATCAAACTAAAATTGTCTCGTATCAAATTTGGTAGATTTTGTATGACACTAAATCATTTTTACTTTATTCGTACTTTATCAATTAATATCAACCACATAACCCCATTTTTCTTCGAATCTGTGTCATCCTCTTTCGTCCGAATATTGGTGGGACGGAAGTAGTTTAACATGTATTGTATTACATATTTGTTCTCTTTTCCAACATTTATACATTATATTCTTATCAATCTTTCGCATTATTGTTAATGTAGAAAAAATAATATTAATTAGTTTTATAAATTTTCATCTGTGCATCGCACGGGTGAGAATCTAGTTAAAACAATAAACCAATTAAAACTTCTTGAAATAGCTACAAAAATTAATTTATTTAATTATTTAATTAAAGCTTCTTCAAATAGGAGAAATGAATTTTAAAAAATAATGACACTCACAATTGAGAACATAGTTAATGTTTATTTTTTGTTAGAAATAAGCTTACACAATTTTTACCCAAAAAAACTTGCACAATCAACCACTTGAGCAGCCACATTTAGAAATGACAGAATGAAATCCAACAAACTCATACGGAGTATTAAATTCCAACACCGCAGAAATTCAAGATCATATTAAATTCCGTCCCTAAATCTCCAACGGGACACATTGGATTTTCCGGGCAAATTAATTATCCTTCTTTAATGCGGACACACCCACATATAATTGAAATATATATATTTCCACACTTGAAAAATAAACTTTAAAATTAAACATGAAAGAGAACTAACTCCAAAGGAAGGAGAAAATGTGAAGGTTTGCCACCAAAGAATTGCAGGAAGGGGTAAAATATGAGATTGGTCCATTTGCTCGTATAAACATGCATCTCAAGCAATTCTTTTATTCAATTCCAAGCATTCAAGCAAAAAAAAGGGAAACAAGCTATAATAATTAAAGGAGAACCCCAAAATAAAATTTAACTTTCTTTTATCTATACGGCTATACTAATATATGTGGTGTAGCTTCACATAAGCTTTGCAAATTGCAAAATAAAACTAATAAAATATGAGCCCTTTGGTGAATCTTTTTTGGCTTATCAGGTTATAAGCCAGCTTTTTCACCAAACACATAACTTTTGATTTCGCACGCTAAATTGTGTAATAAGTAGAAAAAGTAAGGTTGAAGTTATTTTTCTGCTTATTGGCTGAAGTTACTGCAGAGTATCATTTTAGCTGTTTTTTCATATAATTTTTTATTTTGTTTATTAATAACAAATATTTTAAAAGAAACATTTTTGTATTTATACATGTCCGTCTACTCCGGCTAATAGTTTAAATTCGCATGATGAGTATCAATTCAAGTACCACCTATTTTTTTTTCAAGAATCAGCGGAATCAACCAATACTGTCACTTCAACTATAACTTCATGCAGAACCAGCCAATTCATCAAATTTTAGTGTTACGAGACTCTATATATATACTCCTTCCGTTTCAAGTTATGAATCTCGACAGTTTTTTTGTACGTGTTGAACTTCAAAGTATTTATTTTTAGTTGAAAGAGTAATCTACATTCAGTTATGAATTGATTTTACAAAGAAGTTATAAATATGTCGTATGAGCTGGATTACAATAAATTAGTTGTTTTATACTTCAAAGTGAACATATTCATGACTTAGTGATAATAAATTGAGGTTTGCCAAATTTATATTTGAACAAAATGGAGTGAAGGGTCCCTTGTGTAGTTGCAAGGTATGTTGTATCCAATTAATCCAATCAAGAACAATAGTTTGACATTTAAAATAATGACAACAATAAATTATTGGTAATGACTTTTAATGTTTTCTAATGATTTTAAGAAATACGACCACTCTGGATATAGTCAATTCCTCACTGGATCTGTACCCAAACACCGACACTTGGCAAATCTTGATGAACAACGAAGAGAAGATAATATCCGGCTGGAGTCAGGTTACCCGAACCCGGCATATTCACATCCATTTGGTAGATATTTCTTTCCGGGCCGACCGAATCCACATTCAAACTACCCAACACCAGAAGTCTTTGGTTCATAGAGAACGAATGGGTGGCAAATGGTGGTGCCAATAACGTTATCTTCACCTTATCTCTTTGCATGGGCCCGGGTACTGTGAACTTAACAGAGACCCGTGACCCATAACCAAATTTTGAGTTCCGGACGGGTGAAATGATCTGTGGGCGCAATTGGGCCAAAACCGGATCCAGATAAGACGGTGAAAATGACTCCAAACTTAAATCCGTCGGAAACAGATTTGTCGTGAAGTTGTAGGCTTTGTATGGGTTGCCGCCGCCGACAAGAACCCTTCCGTCCCGGAGCAAAATCGCCGATGAGTGATACATTCTGGGTCTTTTGCTCGGAGCCTGTAATTCGAATCTGGACCCGATTTTACCATCTGGTCGGTAAAGAACCGGATTTAAAACCGGGTCTCTGGCAAAATCCCAACCCGCTGAACCGGATGAAGCTCCGTTGAGGATCAGGACATTCCCGTTTGGTAGCATCACCATGTCCCCCATCAATCTAGGAGAAGGCATGGTTTCCATAACCCATTCCGGATTCGGGTCGGTTATTACCATCCGACCACAAGTATCCAACGCCCGCAGAAACGACCCGTTATTCGCGTTCTCAAAAGCCACTGCCTTTGCGCCGCCGCAAACCATTACTTCAGCTGAGACCGTCGCCGGATCCTCCAAGTTCTTTAACGGAAGAAGAACCGCGGATCCTGTACTCGGGTAACATCTCGGGTCGCCGGTGGGAATCTCCGGGTAAGTTCTGACCACCGTGTTGTTTCTGTAGTTGAACAGGATTGCTCTGTTATTTGCGAAAATGAACAAATTCCCATCGACGTTTAGGAAAACAAACGGGTAAAGATTGTTTTCTGCTTTTTTTTTATAAAAAGTTTCTTTCAGAAACGGTAGCGCGTAAAGCTGACGGGTACCGGCGCCGGAGGGGTAAAATTCGTAGCTAAACGCAGAGCGGCCGCCGACGATGATTTGACGGCCATCCGGTAAAATGTGGTTAGTCGCATACCACCGAGGTTGAAGTAATCCTCCTTGGATTTCTCTCCAGTCGCATTTTCCGTCGTCGCAGGGAGAAACGATTCTCACTACGTACTCGCCGGAATCATGGCCGCCGGTTTGGACGAGATTGCCGTCGGGAGAGACCGAACCGGAGGAGCACCAAAAGTCGGTGCGGACGAGGAGAGGGCGTATGTAGTTGTTGGCGACGTCGTACTCTACAGAATGTGCACTGCAGTCGAGTTTGCCGGAGGCCGGAACGGGGATGCATTGGCCGCCCGGCAAGGAGATGTTTGAGTCACCGAAGCTGTTCCGGTCAAATATGATAACTCGGTCGTTGTGGAGGAGCTGCATGTGCATGGCAGATATGCCGATGCTAGAGTTTAGTAGGTCCCACTTTCCCGCCGTTGCCACCGCGGCGGCGGCGGTGAAGAAGCTGTGCTTACAAGGTGTGAGAAATAGAAAAATCAGATTAAAAAGGACTGTAGTAAGTGGGGTTCTCATTGTGGTTGGTTGCATGTGGAATATGGGAGGGAAATTAAATGTCATATACTGATTATATGTGAAACAAATCTCTGATTATTATTTATAATGAAGTGTAAAATCCAAATTAATGAGGAATTTAATGATAATTTTGCTTTCCCGTCTGTCCATTTTCAGTGTTGAAATTCAAACATTCCTTTATAGTATACTTGGTATAATAGTTATGGTTATTATTATTGGGAACGATTTGGACACAAACATTTATTAGAATGATTTATTGTTTTGAAGAGTACTCTATCCGCGTTCAAATTTTTTATGTTTTTCGCACCAACAAATGAAGGAACTTTTTACATTTTCTTTTTTGATAATTTTTTTTTGAAATATTACTCAAGTAAATTCTATTTATGAAAATATGAGTAAAATTTACTATAGTATATATAATATAATGATCACTTAAATGTAAAAATTGAATATAAATTATTATGATTAAAATGAACAGGGACGGAGCTACATGTAACCCCAAGGGGGCCATTGCCCCCCCCCCCCCCCCCCATTTTTAATTTTTTTTAATTAATTTTACCTTAATAAATTTTTTTGCCACCCCAAAAAATTACTCCGTAATTAATAAATAGATATATATTACTCCGTAGTATATATTTATATATAAAAAAATTCTGACCCCTCCTACCCTAAAGTCTGGCTCAGCCTCTGAAAATGAATGAATGCTACTGTCGCTATACCTAAGAGGGTACATTTATATATAAACACATTTATTTTACTCATAAAATATGCTTGCTCCATGGCAAAATAGTTCTAACAAGGTGATTTTTGCACTATTCACACACATTATTTTGATCACGACATTCTACAACTCCGTAATATTTACAATCAAATTATTATGTATAAAATGTTATTAAATTTTTATTAATATGAATTTCCAAATTATTGACTTTTTATGATGTTTACTAATGCGTAATTAAATATAATTACACTCAAAGTTGTGCATAACAAACGTGAAACACAAACTGTTACAAGTATATATATTAAGGAACAATCATCAACTACTTATTTCATATATCCTTGGCTAATTTTTTATTTTAAAATGATTATCTAGTTAATTTATAAATAACACAATCATCAACTAGTAAATTAAATGCTCATATTACAACAATACAAATCCACATTTAAATCTTTGAACTCCTATTTAATTGTCTTATTAAAATGAAACTTCAAATTTTAATATGACATTGGAGTCAGTTTTTTTTAGAAAGAAACACATTTATTTAATATTAATAATAGGAATGACAAAGGACAAAGCAATCCAGTAGCTCAGAGCTATCATGAGATGAGACATAGAATTGACTAGCCCCTGAGACCCCGTCAAGTTCGCAAACCCCGCAATTTGATAGGTTAATTTATCAGTATCACTGTACTTGCATTGCTACTAAAATATATTGATAAAAAAACTAGAGTTATTAAAATGAAAACAATAAGGGATATTTATTAATATATGACTAAAACATTGACAATTTCAGAATATATGACTACTGCTTTTGTACATCCCAAAATATGATTAAATATTAGTTTTATACATACGAAACACTATCATATTGGGAAGAAAAAAGATAGAAGTCATATTTTGGGAAACACATTAAATTTTAGTCATATGTGGGTTAATTTTCTCAAACAATAAATAGAGTCATAATTCCTGATTTTCGTAGCCACCAGTAAGGGAGAAGAGATTTGATCAGCCACCTATAAAGATGTCAGACCGATTTCACCGGCTATCGCGAAGAGAAGAAGTTTGATCAGCCACCTCCAAAGAACCCAGACCGATTTCACCAGCCATCGAAAAGAGAGAAAAGGTTTGATCAACCACCTTCAAAGAAGCCAGTCCGATTTTACCAGTCATCGGAAAGGGAGAAGAGGTTTGCCCAGCCACCTGCAAAGGAAGATTCCCACTCACAAGAGCTAATGATATTCCAGGCGGTGCTGATTCCATGCGGTGCTGGTTCAGTAGCACCGCTGCAGTGTCGTTTTTTGAACCAATAATACTATCGACCTCCATGCTAACTTCAACCTCAACCAGAATCTGCAAATCCACTGCCCTGCGCTTCCTAGACCCCCCCCCCTCTCTCAGCATCCACAGTCTCACCTTAGTTGTGCTCTTTTTCCTCACCCATTTCACCTTTCCCTTTGGAGACAAGTCCCTGAACCAAGTAGCATCCTCACCCATTTCACCTTTCCCTCTGAAGTCTTCTCCTAAATTCCTATCAGCTGCCCTATCAGGGATCATAACGCTTATCGCCACCCCCATATAATGGGCCCCGCACTATTGTTTGAAGGAAAATATCTATCAGTGTGCCCCCAGGACCCCACAAATGAAACATGGATTTAGAAGTCTGGTATTTAAAATATGCCCAAAACCAACTATCACCTTCTTCCCTCACATGTGTTCTTCCACAAATTATATAGACTTTTCTTAATTATAATAACCTTCTGAAAATAGTTTTAGTTTTGTATGAAATATATAAGTTCTATATTTTTATGTGTGTATTTTTATGAAAAAATATTTTATATAATTTTCATAATTTAGGTGATTTCGAATTCAAAAACTTCATTAATCAAATTGTCCATTTTTGGTCGAGAAAATCTATTAATAATCGTGTATTAAGATATGAGGTACCATCCTAATTAAAAGGTCAACCTGATAGCAAGGCCAGTCCTGGGGCATGGGTAATGGGGCATGCGCCCAGGGCCCATTGCTTCACTGGGTCCCATAAATTTTTCAGTTATATACTCCGTATATACATATTTATTTTAATTATATATCTATAAAAAGTTTAAAAAAATCACTTATAATTTTCTTATACTTTCAATTCATTACACAAAAACATCTACAATCTACAAGTTTAAAATTTTGAAATTAAACATCCACAATTCCACACTAGAATTCCTTGGAAACAAACTTCACCATTTCTTTTGATTCATTAAGAGTTAGCGCATAAATGTTAATCTTTTTATATACTTCTCTCATGTAAACTCATAATTCATTGATACTCCGTAGTATTTTGCTAATTTTCTTTAATTCTCTCATGAAATGAAAGAATTAAAAAATGTGATTTGAAATATGAAATTTTTTCTTCATATAAGATATAACTTTCACATGTTTCCCTAATTCAAAACTTTTTATGGCAAATACAAATTGTACTACTTTTCCATTAGGCCGATTTAGTTACATAGTATTCTCGAATGTCACTAACCAAATATTTAAATATAACCTTTCTAACCGTCTCATTTATTAATTTCTTTGATGTGTTATACTCATATTTATGTAATAAAATTGCTCAATTTTACTTATATATTTTTTTGAAATAAAAAATATAAACATTCATACATTATCCCTAAGGCCTACTCTATCTATAATGTCCCGGACCCATAAAATGACAGGACCGAGCCTGCCTGATAGAAGCAGTAATTCAGATCTTAATATAACATTTTAGTACTTCACATTAGTACTCAACATTCCACCTCACGATCAGACACTTCGTCTGTATCGTGCTTTCATTCATTTTTTTCATCGATTCATCATTTTCATTTTTATAATTATCGTCATGTTTTCATTGGGGGCCCAAATCATGGTCATATTCGTATAATTTAATTTGCTACACCACCTCTATTGTTAATCGTTTGGTTAATATGAGTAATATTCCAAGCATAGAGTCGTATTTCATATACCACTTTTTGACCAATAGAAAACAAAAAGAAGAGGATTTTGCTTTTCATCTACCTTTCCTTGGCTTTCAGAAAGAAAAGAATTTGAAGGGATGGTTGAGACTTGAGAGTATCAACAACATTTCTTGTCTATGTAGAAGTCCTTGGATGAAAGGTGAGGGTATTCTGATTCTGAAAGAATACGGATTAACAACTAACAAATACGGAGTAATAAGCATATGATTGTCATTTTTATAGTACTAAAAAATCAAAATATAAAGAGTCAGTTTTGACTGTTGGGTAACTTTTAGATTCTTATACTCGGTATTAAATTAAGAAAATATGCTGAAATGAAAACAGTACTTATTAATGTAACAATAATTAAAACTTTTTTTCTTTTTGCTATACTTTTATGTAGGGGCGGGCATTTCGGGTTGGTTTAACCGGACTAAACCGAACCAAAATCAGATCATATGTAATTTGGTTTGAGTTTGGTACTATTGCTTCCAAACCGAATTAAACCGATCTGAAACCGATAAAAATCAAAGCGAAATAAAGAAATTCAAAAAAAACTTCATAAATTATTAAAAAAATAACAAATTGTAACCGAACCAAACCGAACCGAAAAATAGTGTGGTTTTTGCTTGGTAATAATTCTTCCAACCCATTCCAAACCGAACCGAATCAAAACCGATAAAAACTGATATGCCCACCCCTACTTGTATGGGCGGATACTTAAGTAGTGTTTGCTAAAACTAAATAAAGTGCTTTTAAGCTTTTGGCATAAAAAAGTTGAAAATGGTGTTTTCAAATGATAGATTCTGCTTAAATTAAGCACTTAAAAACTAAAAGCTGAAAGCAATTGGAAGGATGTTGTAAACTGTTTTTTCACTTTTTCTATTACACAAAAAACACTTATTTTACCAAACTCTATCAACTTTTACCCTTTTAAAATTTTTTGAATCACTTTTTTCTCAAACACTACCAACATTTACTATTAAATATTTTCTCCAAAATCACTTTAAAAATCACTACTTTTGAAATATAAACAATCCCAAACACTACGTTATCCTCATCCACATTTCCACTTATTCAATAAAGTAGCACAACAGTTTCATCACTTTCATAATGGCCTTGTAGTATTATAGAAGTATTTAATTAATCAAGTGATTCAATATAGGGTATCGGTACGAATTGATGAAAGAAGGAAATGATCGATTAAGTACATCAATTTGTATGAAGTGGAGTAAAAAGTATATTATATTGCATTTGATATTTCTAATTATAAGTACACAAACTCGGTTTTTAGTATTAATCGAGTACATACTACACAGTTAGATTAACACATAAATACGGCTAAGTTGGCTAACGAAATGTTGAGTAAGAAGGAGAAATCGACCAAGAGAAATTCGACCAAGGTTCTGATGTCAACCTAAAATGGTAAGTCGACCAAGGTTACGTCGACCTGTGGGAGCATCGAGCTCCACGTTTGGGTGTATTGATCAAAGGGAAGTCCACTTGCAGGGATTGGCGTCAACCAAGGGGCTAAATGCTGGTGTCGACCATCAGGAAGTCAACCTATTAGCATTTCATTAGTCAACTCAGCCGTATTAAGATGTTAATCTAACGGGTGTACTTAATTAAGACTAATAATCCGAGTTTGTGTACTTAGAAATATCAAATGCAATATAGTGTACTGCTTACTCCACCTCATACAAATTGATGCACTCAATTGATCCTTTCCTCGTATTGAAAGTGTAAAAGCTCACACGCTGTTTTAACATTCCACGTAAACAATTTCATGCATTTTGTCAAAGAATTGAAATTCTAATGAACTGTTACCATTGTTCTAAAACTCATCAAGCGTTAAACAGACGTTTGAGCGGCGCGTAACGTCTAGACGGCCGATTAGGTTTATTTTTCAGCCGACTAGGTTGATTAATCCTCTACAACTAAGATCGATTAGGCCGATTAGACCGATTAATCCGTCTGACTACACCAATTTTTAGAACAGTGACTATTAGTGTACACAAACAAAATAGGAATGTGTACATGAACGTGTACTATTGGGGTGTACAACTATTTTTTCCTACATAGAACGGGGCTATTCAAGGTGTACCACAAATCCGTATTTTCCCTGCCAATAGGTGACCACGATGACTAATCACTCTGCACAAAAATACTCTTGGTACACACTTTTTGGGGTACACACTTTTACGCACTTTCTGTGTAGGTTTTTTTTGTCTGTACAGACAAAATGTGTTTTGACGAAAACACGTTATGTCTGTACAGACAAAAAAAACCTACATAAACAATGTGTAAAAGTATGTACCTCAAAAAGTGTGTATCCCTAATCCAACTCCATTCTGTATAGATTTATGATGAAGGTATTAATATGTCTAAAATCGGTTGTATATAACCTGCATTTTGCCGAGAATTAAAAAATATTACCGTATTAATTAACAAATTAAAAATATTAATATTATACCTAAATATGGCAGGGGATGTGTCATTTCTTTCCGTTTGGCCACTTTAACAACAGAAGAAAAGCTAGTACAGTCAAATAAGCTAGTAACGTGAAAAATTGATAGACAGATGAAAAATGTGCTATTAAAAGCTCTCTTAATATTGAATCTTGGACAAATAATTGATGGTATTAATGGCAAAATCATAGGAAAGAGAAGTTTTGTAATTGGTGGTCCCACTCTTACTGGTTGCATGTGAAATACGAAGTATGTGAAGGGTTACAGCCTAGAGGATATATGTCAAAATAATACGGAGTATCATAATATCATGCTTCCTCCTTCCTTCTGAACTTTGCCAATTTTCCTCTTTTATTTATTCCAAAAAACTTTGTCACTTTCCTTTTACAGTAATATTTTTGTAGTTCTGTTCGTTTCTCTCTCCTCTGCACAAACCTCAATCACATAAATTTTATTATTCTAATTTCCCACCTAACATCAACTTGACAAAGTTGAGTGAGAAGAAGGTAATATCATTTATTAAGTACACAATAGAAAATTAGGATTATTAAATGAGGAATTGTATTTTGGGTTAGGAGGACCGGTCATGGACTCATGGGGCATCTCCCAAACATCATTGCTTCCCTAGAGTTCATAAATAAATTTTTCAATACGCGGTCTTGTTTTAATTTAGCTTGAAACCCTTAATAATTGTTCTCCAAATTTATCATCATACTTCCAACTTTGTTTTAGCATCCGATCTTGTTTCATCAATCAACACATACAATTGTATTATCATTTTAATTGACTTTATGAGTTTATCCATGACTATTGCAAATTAAAAAAGATTCAGAGCCGACCTTTGGCACATTCAAATAGTAATAGATCAAATTGTGCAGTCCTCCCTATACTATTATGATTTTTTATTGCTTTCAGCTCTTATTGTTATTGGTCTCACTACACTAGTATGAACACATGTAGTACAATCACACACACACACATATTAGAGATGAAATACAAAGTAGGCTTAATTTACTAACCTACAAACTAATCCTAACCATTCGTTTAGACTAAACAGCCGTGTGTTTCACCTAGATTAGATTAGATAGTTAAGGGCTTATTAGTCTTTTACATTTTTATTAGATTAGACACACACATTACCTTTTCATAACCGATTGTAATCAGTTCTCTCTCCCTCTCTCCTACCAGGTTCATCCATCTACACGCAATTGTTCCAGGATATCAAAACTTCTCTTCATTTCCATCTCCATCTCCTCTTCATCTCCATCTCCAACTTTATCTCCATCTTTATCTACATCTCCATATCAAATTTAATAGAATTGAATCTGATAACTTGTTCTTTTATTCAAACGCCAAGGATTCCGGCACCGCCACGGAATCCGGTGCGCACGCCTGATTTTTTTATTTTTATTTTCATATCAATTCATCAATTACATGTTTATGCAAAGCTTTTGTAGTTTCAGTATCTAAAAGTTATTGTATGCAAAAACGTTTCATATCAATTCACCCAATTTCGTATTTATGCGAAGTTCCTATAACTTTAGTATGTAAAATATAGTATGGAGTAGTATCTTTGTCATTTAGAGCATTCTTTAAATATATTATGCATCTTGTCTTCTAGACCCCATGATTTTCATATACATGTCACTTGAGTTTAGAATGCAGATGTCATGACAATAAGATGCAGCATATGGTCCCCTAAGATGCACATGCCATCTTACTGAAATGCAATATATATGAACTTCTAAAAATGCACAGGTGATAGTGCACTGCATGAACTTCTGAAATGCAAACACCATCTTATTAAAGTGCACTTATAATTTTACTAAAGTGCATTCTACGAACTTCTAAAATGCACATATCCCAAAATAAAGACTAATCGGAATTGTTATTGCAATCTTCGTTGATGGCTAAAAAATTCAATCTTAATCATTATTGTATCATTCCTTTTTTAATTGGCTAAACATAGGTGATCTAAATTTTAGTGGTGGGGGCTAGCTGAATTTGTGTGATTACCTTACATATGTGACTGAATCTTTCAACTATTGGATGTAGTCATGACTTATTTCCATAAGTAGTTAAGTTGTCTATCACTTCTATTTTTCAAATGACCATAGTATCCTTCTTATTAACCGTTCCATTAGTAACTCATGATTTTATTATTATTCCGTCCATGTCATCCACAGATTCCTACCATACATCTCATACAGATGCCATTTATTTAACACAAACGGACATATGAGATTAGTTTGTAGGTTTGCATGAGAGAACTCATTTGTATGTGTTCTCACCATACACACACATGATTATGTTAATATACTTACATGATATACAAATGAACGAACGAATGAATGAATCGATAAATAAATGAATGAATAAATAAATAAATAAGTATATACACAAACAAATAAATAAATAAAATATAGATAAATAAAAAAATAGATAAATAAAAAAATAAATAAACAAACAAATGGATAAATAAATAAATAAAAATACATAAATACATAAATACATAAATAAATAAATAAATAAATAAATAAATAAAATTAAATAAATAAATAAATAGATAAATAAATAAATAAATAAATAAATAAATAAATAATTAAATAAATAAATAATAAATAAATAAATAAATAAATGGATAAAGTTTTTAGGGATGAAGGTACTAAATTATTAATTTCATTGTGTTCATATGATTAACTAAATGTGGTAATTTCATTGTGTTAATTCATTTATATGATTAAAGAGCCTCTTTGGTGACCTCATTTTCCACTTATAAGCATCATCAGATGACTTTAAAATAAAAAATTCAACATTTATTTTCGCATGTTAAATTGTGTAATAATTAAGATATATAATGGTTGAGTATATGGTCCGAGCCCAAACACTCATACTCGTACTATACTATAACAAGCCCAACGGCCCACAAGAAGCTCATTTTAGCTAGGTTGTGCACAATCTAATACTCCATCCATCCCTTATAACTTTGTCATCTTTCCTTTTTTGGTTGTTTCAAAAACTTTGTCACTTTACATTTTAATCAATGAATTTGTAGTTCCTGTTATTTATCCCTCCTCTGCTTATAACTCAACAACACAATTTTTACTTTATTATTTCCCGTGCTAATCAAATATGAGAAAGTATTGAGGGACGGAGGGAGTACATAAAAGCAAAACAATATTTTAGTATTCCCGCCCAGCACCAAAAACATCCCCATCGTTCAATCCTTTCTGATATGTTCACATTTCTCCTTCAATTCTCCATTATTGGAACCAGACTCTCTATCAAAATGCATCTCCATCGTTCTTCACCTCTTTCCTTGATATATTCACATTCTCATCTCTTCCTCTATTTCTCCCACTCCATAACTCCATTCTCCTGTAATCGTTTTGGTCGCTACTTCCCAGAAATCATTCCTTCCCCACAGTCTCTTGACTCTTCTACTGCAATTCTCCTCCCATTCACCTCATCATCCTTATCTCCCAGTCATTAATGGTGTACTTCTTGGTCGGAACAACAAGGACTATTGCGGCAATCCTGTAACTCGAGAATGAAGAGACACCCGATTATGTACACGGCATGTCACAAGAAGGTTTGATATGCAATTTTTAAGGATTGACATACGAAATAGGCTAATTATCATCTTAACAGGCATACGAAAAGCTCTCCCTCCTTAAACAATTTCATATACGCCTAGCTATGAATACAGACCAAAGATGTTTATCGACTTATCATCATACACCACCAATCATGGTCAACTCATATCTTTGATTCATTCAATTTAGATCTTGGATTTAATCAAGGTAAATTCAAATCATTTATTCATTCAATTTATATATTGTTCCTTTACTGATGGTGGGAGCTTTAGGTGGTAGGAAGGAAGGAGTGTTTAAGGACACATGGTTCTCAGAATCTTGGAGACATGTTAAGTGTAGTGTTTAAGAATGATCTGAGAGTAAACAAAAAATGCACAAAGGGACACTTGATTGAGGACTTTTAACAAACACCTTCCTTACAGAAATTGTAATAACGTTCTAAATAATATAAACCTAGAAAATTGGAATCAGTTTAAAATAAAAGATGGATTATATGATTTAGAATGATAGTTTACCTCAAACTGATTTTGAATTAGCTGGATGATAGCCTCCTTTGGCTGCTGGTATTAGGGCAGGGTCACTTGTGGCAATTTTCGGATGGGCTTTTAGGAAGAAGAAGAGCACTAATATCCTGAAGGACCTGAACCACTTGCGTGGTTAGTTACTACTATGGATCATCTTTTTTTGTACGTATAAACCTTACCCTTTTTAATTTTGGTCATCAATCCCCTTGATATTGATACATAAATTATACTGCAAACCAACACCAAGGACATGGCTATGTAAGTGTGCCTATGAAATTCAGGCTTTGGTATATTCTGCTCCTGCCTTACCTAAAGCACAGGCTTTGGTTCTGTAATTGATAAAGACTACATTTTGTACCAGGAAACACCATTTGCATTAATGATACATACAATCGGATAATTTTAGGAGTTTTTCTAAATGAAAGTAATTTTATGATAAATAACTGATTACTTTTGTTGATATATGTTTAACTGAATGTCTGAATCATTTGTTTGCGATATGGGTGTCATTAGTTATCACAAGCGTAGCAACACAAGCTCAAAAAAGTACATCTTGGAGTAGCAACAAGGAAAAAAAGAGGTATGGGGGTCTGTTTTTTTATGTCTAGAACAATAACATAACACTTCAGGTTATGTTATTATCCATATTCATATGGGATGTTTACATTCATGTAATTTCCATTGTTATGTTTGCATTTTTAATTAGTTTTGTAGTTTGTTATTTTGGAAATTACACACTTTTGGTGTAATACTTTAGTTTGTTTAAATTTGTGTAAATTGAGTAGATTAGATGACGATGACACTGGAGTCGTATTTGCCTCAAAATAAATTCAATACTTGCACTTATACTATACGTAGTATAGTGTAGTAGAGTTTGTATCCACAAAGAAAGAAATACTTTTCTTTTACGTAACTAGTAAATAAAAGAGGGGGTTTTAAGGTTGATTTGATTTAATTAAATAAACACTAAGATGAACGACTTATATAATTTTAATTAATGAGATAAAAGACTTGGCTTTGCTACTTTGCACTTGTTGATATGTTTGTTGATGCCAGTTATCTCTATAACTTATCCCCTCCCGAATACTCAATCGAAGAGTATCTCCAATTCATCGAGGGTAGTTATTAACACCGATTGTTCATTAATAACCCTTACTATTAGTCAATTATAGAACACCGCCATATAGCGACTTGATAGTAGCTTTTAATCTCTTAACTCATTGATGAAATCAATTGAGATTGATAACCTCAATACAACGGTTTCGGTTTAACCAACACAATTTATCCCTCTTGAAATTATTAACCACGACTGTGCATTAATAACCCGAAGTTACTTGTGAAATCATCATGGATTAACATTCGGTTCATTGATAATTTCTAGTAGTAATTAATGTCAAGATTTTAACTAATTGTCATCTTAGCAACACTCCCCAACATTAATATAGAGATAGAATAAGGGAAAAATTAATATTCAAGGGAAGAAGTAATACAATAACTCACAAGTTTAACATTCAACAAGCTTCAAGAGCAAACTCAAGAAATGAGAATTTAGCTCCTCATTTGGAGACTAAACTTGCTAGAAAAATATAAAGAAAATATTATTCTAAGTTGAGCTTAAGTATATGGAAGAAGGGATGTTTTTTGTGAAGGAAAAGTGTGCTATTTATAGGTGTTTTCAACACCTTTGGCCGGGTACCCGACCGGGTAAAATGTTTACCCGACCGGGTACCGGTCAAAATCGGATCGATTCGCCATGTTCTTTTGTTTTCTTCACGTCTGTTGGTCTGGGTCACATCATACCCGACCGGGTAAAGTACCTTACCCGACTGGGTAAGTGTGTAATTTCCTAGCAACTTCTGTTTTCACTTTCTACCCAACTGGGTAAAGAGTATACCCAACCGGGTAAGTTACCAAATCACTTTTTTAGCATGATTTCTTGCTCCCTTGCACATTCCTCTAGTCTTCTAAGATATCTTCCATGCTCCTTTGTTTTATTCAAGCTCAAACTCTTCAAAAACTAATAAGTTACAATAAACTAGGAAAAATAAAGTATTACACCAAAAGTGTGTAATTTCCCAAACAACAATAAATAATTCTACTTAAAATTACAAAGATAAACAATAACAATTCTATACTATCATTAGGATTACTCTGAGCATAGGATAGGTCAAAATCACTCAAAGGATCAAGGAATGGATCCCAATGACCAAAGGATGAGCAAAGGAACAAGATCAAACAAGGATTTGACAAATTGTTCATATATCCGGCCGGGTATACGCAATACCCGATCGGTATTGACCAAATTTGCATGTCAAAATCAAATCCGGGAAAAAAAGGATCGTGACATGAAAATATATAAAGATTTGGTCTCATACCCGATCGGGTAGACCGACACACCCGATCGGGTATGAGTTGATTTTTACCCGATCAAGTACCTTAAATACCCGGTCAGGTAAAAGACCTTGCCACCTCCATTTTCCTATAATTACATCCGTTTTCCTTCACAATAAATTCACCAATTCCTATATACTTCTTAGCTCAGATTAGTCAAGTACATTATTTTTTTAGCATGTTTAGTCTCCAAATGAGGAGTTAAACTCTTCCATCTTGGTTTTGCTACGTTGAAGCTTAATGATTTGTAAGTTGTGAGTCATTTTCTTTAATCATCTTTCTTGAATATTAATTAATTCCTATTCATATTTCATATTGATATTTTGAGCATTACTTAAAGGATCAACTTGTTTTGTTTCATATATTAATTATTACTAGAATCGATCGATGAGTACGCTTTTTAATCGTTCGGTCCTTTCACGGTAGTAAACTTGGATTATTAATGCATGCGTCTCATGGTTAATAATCTAAGGGGAATTAATTATATTGATTGAACCAATAAACCACTTGTGTTAAGGTTATCAATCTCAATCGTTTTCATCTTAAGTTTATTGCTACTATCAGGTTAATATACGGCACGTGTTCTATATTGACTCGATAGTAAGTTTTATTAATGAATGTGTCTCGTTATTAATAACTACCCTCAATGAATTGGATATACTCCTCGATTGAGTATTCGAGAGGAAGATAGTTAAAGATATAATCCGGATCGACGAACATTTCATTAAGTGGATATAAGCAAAACCAAGTCTCCATCTCTAATTAATTAAATCATATAAGTCATTCATCTTAGTGTTTAATATACTTTAAGATCATCAACAATCTAAACCCCCTTGTTACTAATTAGTTAAAAGATAAATATTCTTTTCCCTGTGGATACGAACCTTACTTCATTATACTACGTATAATTGTTGTATTAATTTTTTTTTTTACGGCACACCACGATAAAATGCTCGTCATATGCCCTTTTTCAGGTTAGATGAGAGCCATGTTCATGTTGGGGTAAATTATTCTATTAGAGGTATGTTATTACAATTCTTCCTCTAATATTACATATTTTAACATATACGGTAGTATTAGTCAAATTCCAACTCATATAGGTTATTGGCATAAATCAAGACATAATTTGATGTACCTTATTAACTTCCTTACCTAATTTTAGTCTGGCGTAAAGAAAATGATGAGGTTTATCATCACAAAAAGCCAACCTTAAACAAATTTTAGTCTGGTGTAATGTTTGAGTTAAAAAAGCCACATAATGATTTACTAATGTTTAAGTTTATCTTTCTACAAATCAAATTTTATATATCACGTTTTACTAAAAAAATTGATAGCATGTGATTGGACCGTTGGGTTATATTCCAATCATTCTTTCTTACACGATCTGCTTTTTCAAATAAAGATTATACACTTAATGATTCATATTTTCTGTTTTGTATGCATGGTTTGCTTTTTCAAATTATTTAGTGTACTCCACTACTCCTTACAATTTCCCGTTTTTCCCCTATACCTTTCTTACTTATTTAATAAAGAGGATATAATGATTTGGTTAGGTTTTGTAACTTTGTTATACAACAACAACATCCAAGCCTTAATCCCAAAAGAATTTGGGGTCGGCTAACATGAATCGATCTATGATATCGATGCCAAAAAGAGTTTGTAACTTTGTTATAAAATGCAAAATCTTAAAATGCAAATGAGTTTTTGTATCTTTTAAAACTCAACCTTTTATATTAATGTCAAAATGGAATTATCTAACCTCTTAAATCTTTAAACTTTAATATGGGCTCAAATGTTTAGTTTGATTTATATATTCAAACTTGCCAACTCAAGAACATGTGGGTTACTTTTATGTTTTTATGCCCAATGATTTACGTTTTTAATTCTTTGGTTCCTAAACAATTTTTTTTTGTAATGTGGCTGTGGGGTTTGAAGCATCCTGTAACTCTTTATACTGGTTGTGGTGGTTTCATACTGTCTTATGCATGCCAAATATTTTTTTGCAGTTCTTCTGTTCTTCTAAATGAAGACTGAATTGGCTAATTTCAGTTTGATACCTACCCATTTCTCTACTTCAAAATCTTACCAATTGAGCATGAACATCTCTTTAAGTTAGAAGTACTTTCTAAAATCTTCACTCTATCTTTCAGTTTGATACCTACCCATTTCTCTTTAAATAAATGAATCATTGTGATCCAACAGTAGATAGGTTACTTTCGATGAGAAATATATAATTGAATGAAGTGGGGGAAATGGGAACTATAACCAATGTTCATGACTAATGTTTGATAAAATGCTCGGATATTGGTGACACCCGATTGGATATTTCCTCCAATAGTCTATGTTTTACTTTTTTTAATCATACCCGACCGGGTATGAAAGATACCCGCTCGAGTAACTGTCCCGGGAGCTCAAAATTTTCATTATTTGCACATACCCGACCGGATAATTGAGATACTCGATCTAGGTCTTCTCCATACCTGGATTTTTTGTGTTTCTTTTCACCGTTTCAATCCAAACATTAGTCCCTCGCTCACCGCACTCAAAAGGAAATTGAACAATGTGAATTAAAATCAAATAAATAAAATGTTTACAAAACTTGGGTTGCCTCCCAAGAATTGAAGCGCCTTATTTATCGACGTGGCACGATGTTTTTTTTAAGTGGGATTATGAACATCCCCTTTTTCATTCTCAAAGCCCTTGTTTGGCCTTGTTTCATTTTTCTTTTTCGGCCTTTTCCAGTAAGGTCTGACTTTCTTTCTTGTTACCACCTCAATCGCAGGTGGTTTGAATTCATGTTTTGGAGGTTTGATTAACGGTGGTTTGTCTAGTGTTTCCTCAACAATCAAGATTGATTCATTTTTTTCTTCAAATGGAGAGTGATTTTTAATAGAATTATAAATGTTATATTCTACTTTCTTTCCATCAAATTCCATAGTTAAAAATCCGTTAGAAACATCAAATTTTGAATTAGCAGTTTTTAAAAAGAATTAATGACCCATATATTACTAATAGGCATTTGGATTCCAAAAATATGATCCGTTTTATATTTTCTCCAAAAGTGACTAAGACCCTTTTCGTACCCTTCGTTGCCTGATTTGATTAGGGATGGATTCGGGCCGGGTCGAGCCCGGGCCGGGCCTAGGCTTGGTCGGGCCGCCGGTTCGTATCACATGGGCCCGGGACCGGCCCGAGGGTTGGACGGGTCCGGTTCGGGCCAGGCCACCCGCCCGGGTCACGGGTCGGGCCACCCGTCGGGCCGGGCCGGGCCGGTTAAATATATATATATATTTTTAATTTATATTTTATACTTTATAGTTTTATACAAGTATTAAAAAACAAACTTCAAGTGCATTTATTTGAAATGAAATAGGAACTACATTTGAAAATTAAATAGGAACTATAATTGTTTTTAATCGGAATCTCCGGCATAGGTAGAGCCACCCTCGGTTGTAGATTCATCCATAAAGTGTTGGGATGGGGTGATGTCAATTTCTTGAGCTCTACGGGCTGCTTTCAACCAATCGTGGTAGCATATAAGCATCTCAAGAGATTCAGCGTTCAACCTCGTTCTGGTTTGTGTTAGGACATTGACGGCCGAACTAAATTCTTGTTCCACGGCAACCGTTGAAACCGGCATTGATAGCACTTGCTTAGCCATCTTTGCTAAAACCGGGAACATTCTTTCTTTTCCCTTCCACCAGTTTAGTACGTCAAAATCATCATCTTCTTCAAAATCAACATCATAAGTTAAATACAAAGAAATCTCTTTAATTGTGCTTTGTTGTGTAGCGGGAGTTGATTTCGTTTTTTTAATAAGATTAGCAAACGTAGATTTGAAAATTGATTTTCCTTTAGATGATGTTTGTGTCGGGGGAGGGGGCGCATTGCCATATTGTGCATGAAACTCATTGAATAATGCATAAAATATATCACTAACCTCGTTGTATTCTTTTTTCGGATCAATTGGGTTGTCCTCATACATTGGCAATGGACCAAAAAAAGCAGCATAATAATAATTCAAACATTCTTCTAAAGAACCAAGTCTAAAACGAGGATCGAGAACAAATGCAATACCATAAATATGCGGAATATGTGAATAATATTTTAAAAACTTTTCCTTCATAAAACCAGCAAAATAACTCACATAATTAGCTTTCTCAAAATTTGAAAAAGCACCAGCGAGATTAACAGCTTCACGAATAAATAGGTATGAGGTAGGTTTATAAACATGACTAAAAGTTTCAGTTGCATTATTAAAATATATCAAAGCATTACAAATTTTTTCACAGGTGTCGATCTCAGCCGAGTTTATAATATAGTTATCATATTGTTTCATAAAAGCAGGAAAATGTTGTTTATATCTAAGAAGAACTCCAATTAACTTATAGGTACTATTCTAACGAATAGACAAATCTTTTGGAAAAGCCACATATCTCTCACCTCTTTCTATCAAATAATCATGCCATTTTTTCCTAAGTTGTCCATTACCCCAAATACGTCTAATCCCCCCCTTGACTACCTCCAACGATGCTCCCAACGCTTTTAGACCATCTTGCACACATAAATTTAGAACATGACATGCACATCGTTGATGAAAAAATCTACCCATCAAAGAAGTAGAACCACACAATTCACGCAATCTAGGAATAACAGCAATATTATTAGTAGCATTATCAAAACCAATAGCAAACACCTTATCAATTAAATTATACTCAATTAAAATACGTTCAATCAAAATATAAATATGTTCAGCGGTGTGACGATCATTAAATTCACGGAAAGCAAGAACACGTTTATGCATATGTCAATCATTATCAATATAATGTACAGTCAGACCCAAATAATGTAAATTATGATAAATATCCTCCCATATGTCAGAACATACAGTAACACGTCCATCAAAGTTTGCAAAATAATTTTGTAATCTTACCTTTTCCGCACCATAAAGCCTTGAAATTTCTTTCTTAACCGTTTTGCGACTATAACCTCTATATTGCGGATTTAAACAAGTTTGTGCATAATCACGAAAAGCAAGACTTTCAGAAAACAAATAAGGCAAATTTTCTTCAACAAGTAAGTTAGCCATACCTGTCAAATTTTGTGCATCATTATATGAGAAATTACCAAAACCTTGTTGGTTATTTGCAAACCTCGATATTTGCGTTTGCTTCCCCGTTCCGCCGCCTAATTTTGCATACTCCACCGGGTGTTTGGACTTAAGGTGTCTTGTGGCGGATCCGTATCCGCCGGAAATCCCCAAGCTATAGTTTTTCTTGCACCAATTGCAAGTTGCGGTCCAATTCCCGGTGTTCGGGTCCTTCCACTTAGAAAAATTATTAGCCATTAATTCAGATTTACTTTTTTTTGTACCTGTTTGGGATGAGGCTGGTTGGTCGGCGTCATGGCTGCCGCCACCCTCCTCCTCCTCGTCGTCGTGGCTCTCCGGAATTGCTTCCTCCACATCGTCGTCCTCGTCCTCGAGCTCTTCTTCGTCAATGGTCCTCGGTTGGTCTTGAAAAAAGCGGGAATTATGTCGGTGCAATTCTTGTTCTAGTTGTTCGTCGGTCATCGCATCCCCATCCCTCCTTACGTAACCCGTATCAAAATCATCTCGACTTTAAGATGAAGAGCCGATATGTGATTTACCTTTGCGGGATCTCTTCCTCGCAAGCTCTTTCGTTCGGTTGCGCTCGAGGTTACCCATATCAACCGAATATCTAGGACGATCCATCTAAAAAATGTAGCGATTAATAAAAAAAAGTAAAAAACTAATTAACTATTTATGTAACTATTAAATCGAGTAATAGCAAATTAACTAGTGAATTAACTAGTTTTGTGTACAACATATTTTTTAAACTAGAGTCAAATGTAGCAATTAATAAAAAATTGTAAAAAAGTAATTAACTATTTATCTAACTATTAATTCGAGTTATAGCAAATTAACTAGTGAATTAACTAGTTTTGTGTACAACATATTTTTTAAACTAGAGTCAAATGTAGCAATTAATAAAAAATTGTAAAAAAGTAATTAACTATTTATCTAACTATTAATTCGAGTTATAGCAAATTAAGTAGTGAATTAACTAGTTTTGTGTACAACATATTTTTTAAACTAGAGTCAAATGTAGCAATTAATAAAAAATTGTAAAAAAGTAATTAACTATTTATCTAACTATTAATTCGAGTTATAGCAAATTAACTAGTGAATTAACTAGTTTTGTGTACAACATATTTTTTAAACTAGAGTCAAATGTAGCAATTAATAAAAAATTGTAAAAAAGTAATTAACTATTTATCTAACTATTAATTCGCGTTATAGCAAATTAACTAGTGAATTAACTAGTTTTGTGTACAACATATTTTTTAAACTAGAGTCAAATGTAGCAATTAATAAAAAATTGTAAAAAAGTAATTAACTATTTATCTAACTATTAATTCGAGTTATAGCAAATTAAGTAGTGAATTAACTAGTTTTGTGTACAACATATTTTTTAAACTAGAGTCAAATGTAGCAATTAATAAAAAATTGTAAAAAAGTAATTAACTATTTATCTAACTATTAATTCGAGTTATAGCAAATTAACTAGTGAATTAACTAGTTTTGTGTACAACATATTTTTTAAACTAGAGTCAAATGTAGCAATTAATAAAAAATTGTAAAAAAGTAATTAACTATTTATTTAACTATTAATTCGAGTTATAGCAAATTAAATAGTGAATTAACTAGTTTTGTGTACAACATATTTTTTAAACTAGAGTCAAATGTAGCAATTAATAAAAAATTGTAAAAAAGTAATTAACTATTTATCTAACTATTAAACAAGAGTCAAATGTAGCAAATTAACTAGTAATTAAACAAGTGTAAATAATAGAATAATTAGATATAATTCCAACTATATTAATAGAAATAATAAATATATAAGTAATATATAATTAGATAACAAATATAAGTAATATAATACTATTTATATCTATTTATAGTTTATATAAGTAGATAATTAATATAAACTATAAATAATAAATATAATATATTGGAGAATGGAGAATAAGAGAATTAGAGAGTAGAGAGTTAAGAATAGGATTTAGGAAGAATTGGAGAAAAGATATGAAAAAATGTTTAAGATTAGGAGTATTTATAGGTTTTTTTACCCCCCACCCCACCACCCAACCCCCCGGACCCCCCCTTTACCCCACCCAACGGCTATATAGCCGTTTGGGTTGTCCCCAGCCCACCCCCAACGGCTAGTAGCCCACTAGCCCAATTAATTTTTTTTTTTAAAATTAAGACCGGACTCGGGCCCGACCCGGCCGGGCCGGGTCACATTTATCCAGCACCGAGCCCGCCCCGCCCATTCCCACCGGTTCGGGTCCACACCCGGTCCCAGACCGCCCGACCGGGCTGGTCCCGGGCCCGCACAGTACCGGGCCGGGCCGGGTCACGAGCCGGGTCACGAGCCGGGTGGCCCGAACCGAATCCAACCCTACCTGATCGTCGATTCACCTAGCCAGACAAATTCCATCGCTTCATTCGGCCCTGTTGCCAGCTATTTGCTCGCCAGACAACAGGCAAAGCCGACGTGCGTCCAAGACCAAGAGCTCTATTAGGATATTGGGTCGAAGGCCCAATACCCAGGCCAAAGGCCGAGAATATCCAGTCCAATAAATAACCCGGAATCCCGAAGAAGAACAGGCCCAATGAGATATATGCCCCGAACGGGGATCGGGGCAACAAGTGTACTTGGGCCAGATCAAGGATGTCTCCAGCTTGGTCCATCACCCCGAACGGGCAACGGATGGTTGACAAGTGGCACGGAGCATTTATTGCTACGAAGAGACCTCATCAAGTGGGAGTATGGGCATTCAAGTGGCTGAATTAGCAACCAATCAGCATGGAGCACCTCATACCCCCCATTAGTATAAATAGAGGGATTAATCTCATTGTAAAGGGTTAGCATTTTGATACTCAAAGCCTAGAATAGCTTTATTACTCTTGTTCTTGTATTAATCACTATTCCGACGTACCGTTCGGGAAGTTTCCTGTGTAATCCGCGAATTGCATAATACAAGTGGGCTCTTGAGATTATGGAGAACGTGACAACGCCAGATGCAGGCAGGAACGTCGAAATCAGAGAACGCCCCCACCGGAAGGAACCCGAGAGTTTGTCAATTTGGCAACTTCACCACCGCCTCCCCTAACAGCCCAAAAGGAAGGGATGGCCGAAATGAGGAGGCAGATGAATGAAATGAGGGACCAGGTGAACAGGGCACCTCTACAACCTACCCTGGTGTGAGTCGGGATCACTTCCCCCTTTATCTGGGAAATAATGGATGCCGAAATCCACATGGATGCCAAATCGCCGACCGGTCAGATATATGACGGGGCGGGAGACCCCCATGTGCATTTGAGAAGTTACCAGGGGGCTCATGCTGTTGGGAGCGACGGAGGCGGCCATTTGTCGGCTTTTCTTCAGCATGCTCAGGGGACCTGCCCAGGAATGGTTCAGGACCCTGCAGCCAGGATCGATCGGCAGCTTTGCCGAATTATCATTCTTATTTCTGGCCCAGTTTGCTTCCAATGCCACCCCAAAGCCGCATTTCAGCTACCTGACTAGTGTTAAGCAGGGGCCAAAGGAGATCCTAAATCAATTTCTGAAAAGATGGAGGGATGAAACCCTAAAAGTTGGGAACATGACAGATGATACACCCATCACCCTATTCATTAACGCTCTCCGAACGGGTGAACAGTATAAAGACCTGAAAAAGAATCTGGGCACGGTGTATTCCGAAGTGCTGGACAGATCCTGAAAGCACGCGGCTCTGAAGGAGGAAATCATGATCAGGGATAACGTAGCTACACCCCCTGCCCCAACAAGATTGGCCGATCGGCTGGGTCCTATTCCAGCGGCCGCTCCTCCTCCAAAGCCGGGACGATTCACCCCTTTGGTCCTGTCTGTTGCAACCATTTACCAGAACGAGAAGGACGATATTCCCCTTCCGACTGATACCAAAGGCTACATGGGGGCAGATGAGAACGCCTTCTGTAAATACCACAAGAGGAAGGGTCACCCCACCCATTTCTGTCGGGCATTACAGATCGCAATTGAAGAATTGATCCAGCGGGGTCATCTGGACAAATATGTGAATAAAGACCCGAACGTTGTAGATATCTTGAAGTCAGTCAAGAAACCCAACAGCTGGAGACGGGATGATCAGCGTGACGCTCAGCCCAAAGCAGAGGGTTCGGGGAACCCAGGAAAAAAGCCAAGAATGGAGGTAAAGATCATATTTGGGGGCGGAGAAACAGGTGACTCGAATGCCGAACGGAAAAGATTCGAACGGAGCCTCTATGTGGGCTCCGTATCCACGCCACCCCAGAAGAAAGGAAGAATGGAGCCGATAACATTCGGCCCTGCAGATTGGCCCAATTCACCAAGTCCACACAGGGACGAATTGGTCATAAGCATGTGTATAGACAATGCACTGATCTGCCGAGTGTTGGTAGACCCTAGGAGTGGTGTGAACGTATTGTACCTACAATTGTTCGAGAAAATGGGACTGCATTGAAGCAGAAGGCACTATCCAGTTGATGGTGGAAATTGGGGATGAGACACACAAGGCATCGGTCCGAATGACGTTCGTGGTAGTAGACATCAAATGTGACCACAACGCCATTTTGGGTCGACCAGGGTTGGAGGATCTAGAGGCGATAGCTTGTGTTCGTCATTCATGCATTAAATTACCAACGAACACAGGAGTCGGAGTGGGCAAAACAGATCCTGCAACAGCCCGAACTTGCTATCGGGAAGTCTTGAAAAATATGAATGCCCGAGGGATGCGGGTAAACAGTATTGAGGTCGAAACTCATCGAACTGAGTTTGAGGCAAATCCTGAGCCTGCTACCCTCTTAGAGCAGATCGACATTGATTCTCCCCCCAACCGAAAAGTGCCGATCGGGGTAGACCGGGAAGCTGGAATTCGGGAGGGTGTTATTATGGTTCTGAAGAAATTTCAGATGTTATTCGCCCGAGGACCAGAAAACATGCCTGGCATTGACCCAGAAATAATTTGCCACAAGCTGGCCGTTCGGCCTACCGCCAAACCGGTTCAACAAAAAAAAAGATATTAGGCGGCTGAACGACGTGATTTTACCAAGACGGTGGTTGCCACCTTGCTATGGATCAAACATATCCGGCCGGTTATCCATGTCGAATGACTGTCGAACGTGGTACTGGCACCTAAGGGTTCCACTTGGAGAATGTGTGTAGATTACTCTGATCTGAATAAAGCTTGTCTGATGGATCCCTATCCAGTGCCACGGATTGATCTCCTGGTAGATGAAACAGCCGGGTGTGAGCTATTGAGTTTCATGGATGCCTTCTGGGGATATCATCAAGTCTTTATGCACCCGGACGATGCGGAGAAAACAACATTCGTCACTTCAGATGGCGTATTTTGCTACATTGTGATGTCGTTCGGGTTAAAGAATGCGATGGCTACCTTCCAAAGGATGATCGGGATACTTTTCAAAGAAGTAATAGGAGTGACAATGGAGGCTTATGTAGATGACATTCTGATCAAGAGCTGGAAGAAGGATGATCATGTCCCGGACATGGAAAAGGTGTTCGGGATAACGCAAAAGGCAAATATGAGGTTGAACCCCAAGAAATGTGCCTTTGCAGTTAAGGGAGGCAAATTCTTAGGATACATGATGAGCGAGAGGGGTATTGAGCATAACCCAGAAAAGGTGAAGGCAATCATGGATATGGAAGCCCCGAGAAACCTCAAGGAAGTTCAGAGATTGACCGGCTGATTAGCAGCCTTGAGTAGATTTTTGTCCAAACTTGCCGACCGAGCAATCCCGTTCTTCCAGATTATGAAGAAAGCAAACCCCTTTGAATAGACCTCCGAATGCAAAACGGCCTTCGAAGAGTTCAAGACGGATCTGTCTTCTCCTCTACAAAGCTGACCCAGGGGAACACCTGTATATGTACCTCGCCGTGGCCGATCTGGCTGTAAATTCAGTATTACTGAAAGAAGAAGATGGCATCCAGCGGCCAATTTATTTTGTGAGTAAAGCCCTGAACAGACCGGAGACTAGGTACACCCTGATGGAGAAAACGGTATTGACCCTAATAGCAGCCATCAAACGACTTGCACCCTATTTTCAGGTGCATCCAATAACCGTATATACAACTCAGCCGCTCGCTACCATCCTGAGAAACCCAATGGCTAGCGGACGAATTACAAAGTGGAGTCTCCTGATCGGGCAGTATGAGGTAGACTTCAAACCTCGAACTACTATCAAAGGCCAGGCCTTAGCAGATTTCATAGCGGAATGTATCGCTCGGCCTTCGGAAACTAAGTCAGAGAGCAGTATGCTGGATAACTGGTGGGAGATGTACGTAGATGGTGCATCAAGCACATGGGGTTGCGGTGGTGGAGACGTGATCACCTCACATGAAGGATTTAAAGCATACTACTCCATTTATTTTGATTTTAAAGTAACCAACAATGAGGCCGAATATGAGGCCCTTATTGCAGGTTTGAAGTATGCTAAAACCCTGGGTGCCGATCGGCTCAAGGTCCGGTCAGATAGTCAACTAGTGGTCAACCAATTGAATGGCACAACCGAGGCAAAAGAAGAAAGGATGAAGGCATACAAGGAGCTGGTCGAGGAACAAATCAGTAAGTTCGAACAGGTGGTACTCGACCAGGTATCCAGAACAGAAAATGCCGAGGCAGACATCTTATCTAAGTTGGAAAACGCAGCCTTTGATGACCGAGCACAAATGATCCCAGCTCACATCCAGCGGTTTGCCCATCGGGAAACCCTGACGACACCCACAACCATGATCCTCCAGGTGGAAGCTATTTCTTATGCTGTTCCCAGTTGGGTCACATATATGGCTACTTATCTGAAGGACGGGACTCTCTCAGAAGACAAAAATTCAGCGTATAATATCAAGTGCATTCAGAGGAGGGCTTCCATGTTCGAACTGGTGGATGGACAGTTGTACAAAAAGACATTCAGAGGACCATATTTAAAGTGCCTTCCACCCGGTCTAGTAGCGGCAGTAATGGAAGAAATTCACGAGGGTATATGTTCAAGCCATCTGGGGCCTAAAACACTGACAAGGAAAATCATCTTGCAGGGATACTACTGGCCAACCATCCAACAGGATTGTTTTGCACATACCAGGAAGTGCAAGGTTTGCCAGGTACATGCACCGGTTCCCGGACGGCCAACTACTTTCTACACTCCAATGACCATTGCTCTTCCGTTTGCTAGGTGGGGGATCGACTTGCTAGGACCCCTACTTACTGCCCCCGGAGGATGAACGTATATCATCGTTGGAGTTGATTATTTCACCAAATGGGTGGAGGCCGAACCACTGTCTAGCATCACAGATTTCAAGTGCCAAAAATTCGTATGGCAAAACATTATTTGCCGTTTCGGCCTCCTTGAGCAGATCGTCACGAACAACGGGAGGCAGATCGTGAGCAGGAATTTCGAAAATTACTTGGTCAAAGGAAGCTGAATAACAACAAAGACAAAGATATCTGCGCTGCAATGCTGATTGAACACGATTGAACACCAAGGGGGAGATTGTTGGGAATATTTTATGGTGTCCAATCTAATTAAATATCTTTGTATTTATGTAGTTATTAGTTAAATGTGTACTATGGGCCACAAATGTATTTCAGCCCATTAGCCCACTTGTAAGCCTTAAGTTAGACATTCTTATGTATAAAAGGATGCTAACTTAAGCAAACCCTAAGTCTCACAAGCCTCACACATATTATTCACGCATATCTTTCTGATAGCATATACGGTATAAGGAAGAGTGAGTTCATCGTTCAAATATTTTTCTATCATTCTGTGATTCTCTCCTTCTATTATATTGTATGATTTTTGATTGATTTTGGGACTAACAATTTTGATACTCAAAGCCTAGAATAGCTTTATTACTCTTGTTCTTGTATTAATCACTATTCCGACGTACCGTTCGGGAAGTTTCCTGTGTAATCCGCGAATTGCATAATACAAGTGGGCTCTTGAGATTATTATTATTATTATTATTATTATTATTATTATTATTCAACTTTTATATTTTGTTATACCCTCAATTTATTATCCACCATTCTGAAATATCCAAAGCGTGTGTTGGGCTTTCGGATCTACGGGAAAAAACCTCAACGAGCTCCATGACCAAGAGCTCCCACGATGCTCGTCGCCGGTAGCAGAGAAAACATTCTCCCCCACCATCGCCGCTAGTAACCATCTCCCCAGACCGGCACCATTGCAACGACCTTCTCAGTCGATGACGAGCTTCGCTGACCCATCAAGCAGGCCTCCCCTGCTGTAACAAAGAAGAAGATCCTTCTCTCACTGCACCTCTTCGTCTTTCTTCGCATCAAATTGCTAGGATTTCGAATTGCAAAATTGAATGCCCAAATCACCATGAAACCCTAGATTCGAAGCAAAAGTGAATAGCTGAAGAGGGATAGAGGTTGGGGAGGGGACTGGTGGGTTGGGGGAGGGGGCTGGTGGATTGGGGGAGGGGCTGGTGGGTTTGGAAGGGGGCGGGTGTGCTGGGGAAGGGGCTGGTGGGATGGGGAGGGGGCTGGTGGGACGGGGAGGGGGCTGGTGGGCAGGGGAGGGGCTGGTTTGGTCATGATTAGAGCGGCAGCTATCATCGGTGGCGGTTGCTAGTTGTGGGGGTCGGGGTGTCGGTTGATCGACTGCGGTGTTAACGGCAATAATTTCACTGAGCGGGAACATACGGTGACATGTTTCTCGATGACAGTGACATCCGTAGATGGCATTAAAATTTTGTAGTAACGAATCACAGTGCCACGTAAAAATCACAGTGACATGAAAAACGTGACAGGTGAGGCGCTGGTGGTGGTGTACAATTTTGTCGGAAAATTTTCCAGTGATTATAGTGACGTTCAAAAGTGACATAAAAATTTAATAGTGACATTTAATAGTGACATAAAAATCTGGCAGTGACATAAAAAAGCAGTGACATCATGTTTTCCTTATATGTGACCTTCTTAGTCACATTTTTGTCCTTTTATAAAAATGTCAATTAAGTTTTTTTTCCGGTTTGAACCAAAAACCCGAGTTTTTGGGGTGAGGGCCAGGAAACACCTCACCTATTTATTAGCTTCAATTAAGTAATATTTAAGGAAAAAACCCTTTTAAAAATGGTCTCCCCAATAAAATAGGGACTTGATGTTTATCACTCTCCATTTCAAGTACATAAATATCGGCAGGGAACAATAGATTGCCTACCGATACAAGTACATCTTCCACCACCCCTTTTGGAGAAACAGTCGATCTATCGACCAGTTGGATTATGACACTGATTTCATTCAAAGGGCCAAGGTTCAAAGAATTATAAAGAGTATAGAGAACCACATTAATTGATGCCTCTAAGTCTAACATGGCCCTAGAAGAAATGGTGTCCCCTAGCTTGCAAGGTATAGTGAACATGCCCGGGTTAGTGCATTTTTCTGGAAGTTTCTTTTGAAAAACTGCCGAGCCATGTTCACTAATTTCAATTTTCTGTTTCCTTTTAAGTAGTTTGTCCTCTTGATTGTGCATAATTCTTTTAAAAATTTAGAAAATTGAGGGACACTTTTAATTAGGTTAAGGAGTGAAATATTTACCTCACACTTGGCGAAGGTCTCATAGATATCCACATTTCTCTCCAGCTTCCTTGTTACTTTGAGTGCTTCAGGGAATGGTGGGAGTGGTTCATATGATAAAAATGATAGGAATTTGGCCTTTGTGGTCTTCTCCTCAGGTACGTCTTCTTCAATGTCAACCTTCTCTACCTCTTGAGTTGTCTCTTCATCCTCCATTTGTATTTCTTTCGACGCTGTTCCGCTTTTCAACATGATTGCATTCACATGTTGTCTCGGGTTTTGCTCCGTTTGAGATGGGAGTTTACCCAAGTCTTTTGCCTCAAGTCGGCTCACGACATTCGAAATTTGGCTAACTTGAGTTTCCAAATTTTGAATGCTTGACCTTGTCCCATTTTGAAATTCTACCATGGTTTGTTGAAACTGTCCCATGTTTTGTTGCATGGTAACCATGTTTGAGGTCAAAGTTCAGATCATATCACCAGTTGACATACTAGATTGAGAATTTGAGCCTTGGGTGTTGAAAGATGTTGAGGGTTCCCATATGTCAAATTTGGATGATCTCTCAATCCTGGGTTGTAAGAATTTGAGAAAGGGTCGTACCTCTTTTAATTTGTTGATGTCCTTGGAAACCCAAGACGTTGACTTGCTCTTCTTGGAGAGTTGGGTAGGAATTGGTTGGATGTCCGGTCAATGTGCAAATGCCACATGCTTTCACTTCTTGATTTTTTGAACCCAGAATAAACTCCTTCATGAGTGATGTAAATCTTGCAACTTGATTTTCCAAAGTAGATGTGCTAGATTCTGCCGCAAGAACTCTTTGAGTTGATGACTTGCGGCCGAATTGCCGTGAGTTCTCGTCCAACTCCGAGATCAAACTCGTTGCTTGTGAGGGAGTTTTGTTAACAATGTCATCTCCAGTTCTCCACAAGCAGCATTTACCATTCCTCTATCATCATCAACAAGACCATCATAAAAGTAAAGTATGAGGTCTTGCTCGGTGTACTCATGGTATGAGCAACTAACACACAACTTTATGAATCGCTCCCAATATTCATATAATGACTCATAATCTTTTTTATTAATGTTGCTTATTTGTTTTTTCAAAGATGATGAGACGGAGGCGGAGTAATGCCTTTCTAGGAAGCACTTCTTCATTGCCGCCCATGTATCAATACTCCCCGAAGGGAGATAGAATAACCAATCCATAGTTGTGTCCTTCAGTAAGAATGGAAAGGCTCCTGCTTGATCAGTTCTTCAGTAACGTTATTCGTTTTCATACTGGTGCAAACTATATGAAACTTCGAAAGATGTTTGTTCGGGCCCTCGCCTCATAGACCATGAAAGGAAGGGAGTAGATGAATGATGCCCGATTTCAATTCAAACGTAACACCCTCATTTAGAGTGGGGAAGGTCATACACAAAGGTTGTTGATTGAGGTTTCCAACGCCATGTGGATGGATTCCTCATATTTGCTAGAGCTAGAGTTTGATGATTCCTCTGTGTCGTTACTTGAGACCAAACATACTAGAAAATATAAAGGAAATATATACTTGTCTAAACTGAGCTTAGAAGTATATGAGAATTGGTGATTAAATGGGAAGAAAAAAGGATGTATTTATACGTATTTTGAGGTGGCTGGGTCTGAAACCCGACCGGGTATATAGAATACCCGACCCGGTATATAGAATACCCAACCGGGTATCCTTAAATTGCTCGGAAGGTGTTGAAGTCACATCCAACCTGACCGGGTTGGGTCAAAACCCGACCGGGTTGGGTCAAAACCCAACCGGGTTACTTATCAAATCGGATATTTTCCACGTTCTCTTGATCTTCGACACGTTCTTTTGTTCATGTCAACTCAACCCGACCGGGTTTTGTACCAACCCGACCGGGTTTCGGCACGTAGCTTCCTGTTGCTTCATATGTCACTTTTATCCCGATCGAGTTATGTTCCAACCCGACTGGGTTTGCTACAAGAATTTATTTCCACCATTCATCTTGCCTCCCTTTGGTACCTATAATACTCCCTTGCATCCCTTATGGTTCTTACAACAATATACACACTAAAAATACAAATTACAATCTACAAAATAAATCTAGAGATTACATCACAAACTAGATTAAACAATTAAAAACAACAATCAAACGGTACTAAAATAACAACTTATATATGCACTAGGAAATAGTGCATTAGTGCATATCACATATAATTATATACAACAATCAAACGGAGTATTAAACAATAACACAATAATATATATGATTAGAGAACAGAAAGAGCTTTCATTGAATACCGATGATGATGAAGATCGATGTTTAGAGCATCTCCATTGCATGGATGTCTAGTCTAGCTAAAGTGTGCCACATCAGTAAATGAGTGTAGTCTTTGTGTGACAATGGCAATAAAAAAGTTAGACAATGTGAAAGGGGATGTTTGAGTATAGAAAGGGTGATAGACTTACTGAATCGGATAAAAATAAGCGAGCACCTCTCCGATTTCTCACACACGTCTCCCGCTCTTTACCTTGTTCCACTTCTTCTCCAAACCTTCAAATCCCCCCTTGTTTCTTTCCCCACATATCTTTATCCCCACTGCTTCGTTCCAAACATATATCTACTCAATGCTTTCTTCTTCTTCTTCTTCTGCAATTTCTCACCTCCTCCACCTCTTTAATTTTGGAACCCCACTAGACACAAGAGGCGAGAATATGTTGCTGCTATGGGGGATGGGGAACCACCAACAAGGGTTTTCTGTAGAAAGTCATTGCCGCTAGTTCATCAAATTCTCTTTCTCCTCTATGTTGCTTCATGGCGGCCGCATTTTGTTTGGATAAACAAATACGGAGTATATTATATTTAGTATTATATTAATATGCATAATTCCAGGTAGACGATTAATTTGGCTGAGACATTATGCATTGTTGATGTCTAATCACTCCACTATTTATCATGTGGATTAGAAACCCTTTAATAATTTGACATTTGGTATAAATTAATCAGACTAAAACAGCTTGCATTGTGGATGCTCTAACAATAAATGGTGCTCACAGGGTATTCAATGATGTCATCGGTCGATGTATATATACACTTAACCCCAAAGACTATTACTCCTTCCGTCCCAAAATTATTGTCATGTTTGGTTTTTCACACAGATTAAGAAAATGGCACTGTAGCGACACTGTTTGGCACTATAGCGACACTGTTTTGCACTGTTTTGCACTGTTTGGTATAGATTTGTTTACAAAATAAGGAAGTTTTAGAAACGGGACAATTATTTTAGGACGGACCGAAAAGGAAAGCGGAACAATAATTTTGGGACGGAGGGAGTATAATATATGGAGTGTTAATTGTACTACAAAAATAATAAAATGCTAAAGGGCCATTAAACAAAGCTGGCCTATAGGAGTATTAAAATACATGTTTTTTAAGAGTGCTGCACTTAGCTTACATTTAAAATTGTATCACCGCCTATTTTTATTCAAAGTGATTTATTCCATCAATTTGATTTGAGCAATAGAGAATTGTGATTTATTCTCATTTTTTATGTAAAGACAATTTGCAATTGAACCTTTACAGAAAAACTAATCTAGAAAATATATTTCATATAACAAAATAACACAAGATCAGACATGACACCATCGGATTGGAGTATTGGACTAGACTATGTCTAATTGTCTATGATTGTGTCGCCATAAAGCTCATTTTGAGCTTAAATTTGAGCTGAAGTTGGTAGAATTTCAAATAAGAACATTACCAATGGGACACCGTTAACATGGAAAATTATGACACATGGCACTTTATGAATGGAATAGTCATCCACATCATGTTGTAGTGGTGTAACTTGAGTGTGA